GTAGTAGTTAGTTAGTTAGTTAGTTAGTTAGTTAGTTAGTTAGTTAGTTAGTAGTTAGTTAGTTAGTTAGTTAGTTAGTTAGTTAGTTAGTTAGTAGTTAGTTAGTTAGTTAGTTAGTTAGTAGTTAGTTAGTTAGTAGTTAGTTAGTTAGTTAGTTAGTTAGTTAGTTAGTTAGTTAGTTAGTTAGTTAGTTAGTTGTTAGTTAGTTAGTTAGTAGTTAGTAGTTAGTTAGTTAGTTAGTTAGTTAGTTAGTTAGTTAGTTAGTTAGTTAGTTAGTAGTTAGTTAGTTAGTTAGTTAGTTAGTATAGTTAGTTAGTTAGTTAGGTTAGTTAGTTAGTTAGTTAGTAGTTAGTAGTAGTTAGTTAGTTTAGTTAGTTAGTTAGTAGTTAGTTAGTAGTTAGTTAGTTAGTTAGTTAGTTAGTTAGTAGTTAGTTAGTTAGTTAGTAGTAGTTAGTTAGTTAGTTAGTTAGTAGTTAGTTAGTTAGTAGTTAGTTAGTAGTTAGTAGTTAGTTAGTTAGTTAGTTAGTTAGTTAGTTAGTTAGTTAGTTAGTTAGTTAGTAGTTAGTTAGTTAGTTAGTTAGTTAGTTAGTAGTTAGTAGTTAGTAGTTAGTAGTTAGTTAGTTAGTTAGTTAGTTAGTTAGTTAGTTAGTAGTTAGTAGTAGTTAGTTAGTTAGTTAGTTAGTTAGTTAGTTAGTTAGTTAGTTAGTTAGTTAGTTAGTTAGTTAGTTAGTTAGTTGTTAGTTAGTTAGTTAGTTAGTTAGTTAGTAGTAGTTAGTTAGTTAGTTAGTTAGTAGTTAGTTAGTTACGTTAGTTAGTTAGTTAGTTAGTTAGTTAGTTAGTTAGTTAGTTAGTTAGTTAGTTAGTTAGTTAGTTAGTTAGTTAGTTAGTTAGTTAGTTAGTTAGTTAGTAGTTAGTTAGTAGTAGTTAGTTAGTTAGTAGTTAGTTAGTTAGTTAGTAGTTAGTAGTTAGTTAGTTAGTTAGTTAGTTAGTTAGTTAGTAGTTAGTTAGTTAGTTAGTTAGTTAGTTAGTTAGTTAGTTAGTTAGTTAGTTAGTTAGTTAGTTAGTTAGTAGTTAGTTAGTTAGTTAGTTAGTTAGTTAGTTAGTTAGTTAGTTAGTTAGTTAGTTAGTTAGTTAGTTAGTTAGTTAGTTAGTTAGTTAGTAGTAGTTAGTTAGTTAGTTTAGTTAGTTAGTTAGTAGTTAGTTAGTTAGTTAGTTAGTTAGTTAGTTAGTTAGTTAGTTAGTTAGTTAGTTAGTTTAGTTAGTTAGTTAGTTAGTTAGTTAGTTAGTTAGTAGTAGTAGTTAGTTAGTTAGTTAGTAGTAGTTAGTTAGTTGTAGTTAGTGTTAGTTAGTTAGTTAGTTAGTCGTAGTTAGTTAGTTAGTTAGGTAGTTAGTTAGTAGTAGTTAGTTAGTATTAGTTTAGTTAGTAGTAGTTAGGTAGTTAGTTAGTTAGTTAGTTAGTTAGTTAGTTAGTCGTTAGTTAGTAGTTAGTTAGTTAGTTAGTAGTTAGTTAGTTAGTTAGTTAGTTAGTTAGTTAGTAGTTAGTTAGTTAGTAGTTATTAGTTAGTTAGTTAGTTAGTTAGTTAGTTAGTTAGTTAGTTAGTTAGTTAGTTAGTTAGTTAGTTAGTTAGTTAGTTAGTAGTTAGTTAGTTAGTTAGTTAGTTAGTTAGTAGTTAGTTAGTAGTTAGTTAGTTGTTAGTTAGTTAGTTAGTTAGTTAGTAGTTAGTTAGTTAGTTAGTTAGTTAGTTAGTTAGTTAGTTAGTTAGTTAGTAGTTAGTTAGTTAGTAGTAGTTAGTTAGTTAGGTAGTAGTTAGTTAGTTAGTTAGTTAGTTAGTTAGTTAGTTAGTTAGTAGTTAGTTAGTTAGTTAGGTTAGTTAGTTAGTTAGTTAGTAGTAGTTAGTTAGTAGTCTAGTTAGTTAGTTAGTTAGTTAGTTAGTTAGTTAGTTAGTTAGTTAGTTAGTTAGTAGTTAGTTAGTTAGTTAGTTAGTTAGTTAGATTAGTTAGTATTAGTCTTTAGTTAGTTAGTAGTTAGTTAGTTAGTAGTTAGTTAGTTTAGTTAGTGTAGTTAGTTAGTTAGTTAGTTAGTAGTTAGTTAGTTAGTTAGTTAGTTAGTTAGTTAGTTAGTAGTTAGTTAGTTAGATTAGTTAGTTAGTGAGTTAGTTAGTTAGTTAGTCTAACACTGTTGTACGCTATAACACTGTCATGTGGGGCTATAATATACGAACTTTACAAAACACTTCAACTTGCTTAAACCAAGTTTAGTTAAAGTCGCTTTAACTAAGTTTAGCGTTTCATTTAGATTTCCCATTATCAAAAAACAAATAAACATTCGCTCACAATGCCACATTTTCAAATCAGCCAAGTTTTTTCTAACTAAAGTTCTGCTAAACCATGAATGCCTGTTTAATATTTGTCTGTCTTTAACTTATAGTATATCCCTATACTAATGGTTAGTATTACAATTGTAGAACATTTAAGCCCCTTAAAGGCACAATTTTAATGATTAGCTCGTGCTACATAAAACCAATAAAAAGGGCACACAAACAAAAAAAGGTAACAGTGACTAAAGGTAAACTTCACAAAACAAAGTACAAAGCACACGATTGCATTTAACACGTTTCGTTTAAAAACAAAGTGTGATGTTTTTCTCCCTTTTTCATGTTTCTTTTCAGTTGTCATGTCCAAATTACTATGTGTGTTTTTAAATGATTTTAATTTTTATTATATCTTCAGTCCGTCGACATTGTCGTCATACACATTTTGCTCATTTCTTACATACATATGTATGAATGTCAAGTTCAGGGTTAAATAAAAAAAAGAAATATTATAAATTTATATAAATTACAAAGTATGCAGCCATAGTTTGTACCCGAAAGAATTAGTTAAACTGTTTGCTCAAGCATGACTTATGCATGTTATTATCTTTATAAATTTTCATTTGCCAACAATCTTTAACATTTTACAAATCTCCAGCAACAAGTGATCTTTGCTTCAGCAAACAACTTACTTTTCTCTTAAACATGCCACATATTGTAGAAAAACGCTTTACAATACGATAATTTTTTATGGAAATCAGAAATAAATGAAGAAAACAATTTATAATTTGTTTTTTTAAAAGCAATTTAAATGACTTTTTTGTAAAAAAATAAACTTAATTTGATAAGAAATACAAAAAAGAAACATGTTGAAAACATACAATTATTTAATTACATTTGTATAAACAGTAATTAAATAATCATATTTCAAGTTCAAATATAATTTTTTTTTGAACAAAAATTAAATATTTAATAATACTAATTGTCAACAGTTTATTTGTTGTTAATTATCGCTATATAAATATTCCATAAGTTGGTGTTCAAAATCACTATATTTATGCAGTTTTTATACCCTTCACCTTCGTGAGAAGGGTATATATAAGTTTGTCATTCCGTTTGTAATTTCTATAATATAATTTTCCGACCCTATAAAGTATATATATTCTGGATCCTTATAGATAGCGGAGTCGATTTAGCCATGTCTGTCTGTCTGTATGTTGAAATCAGTTTTCAGAAGACCCCAGATATCTGCGAAATTCGAATTTTCAATAATTCTATCGGAAATACGATCGAATAGAACGCTATTTAAAATCAGCCCCAATCGGTGCATAGGTCAGAACACATAAAAGGAGACTTTTTGGTACTTTTTCTTTCTACAAAAGGTACTTTTTGAATTTTCAATAATATTGAACCTAGAAACATGAAATTAAGTTTGAAGAGTCTGGATTAAGTGAGAACCCATAAAAGGGGACTTTTTTTAGTTTTTGTAATAAAATTCGTACTGACTGTTTTTTAACACATCATGGTGAAGGGTATATAAGATTCGGCACAGCCGAATATAGAACTCTTACTTGTTTTTTGTAAAATCATTTTTCTTTGGAATTAAAAAAATGAGATTAATTCTGAGACAAATAACCCAAGATTTAATGGAGCAAAAACAATTGCATAAATCTTTAGAAATACTTATTTTAATAGGGATTTCTGTACAAAATCTCTTTAAAATGGGTGTTATGATAATAAATTTCAAAAACTGTTAATGTATTTCCTCCTGTCTATCATTACGCTTAACTAAAATTAGTTAAACTCGTTTAAAGCGAGATTAGTTAAACTAGGTTAAACAGAGTTTAGCTTTGGAAATTATGCCAATAGCATAAAGTTTTATATAAGCAGTAAATAGCAATATTGACTTTTGAAATTGAGCTAAGTTTTGTTAACTAAAAATTAACTAAAACTATAAAAACGAAGTTTAAGTCTTAGTTTTTATTTTATTCAATTCTTATTAAAAAGGACTAAAATATTACTTAATTTAAATCATATAAAAATACTTAAACTTGTTTAAACCTAGTTTAGTTAAACTATGTTAAACTGAGTTTAGTAAAAAAGTTTCAAATGAAACTACTAAGCTGGTTAAGATCGGTCCATTATTTCACCTAGCCCCCATACAACTGAACCCCCGAATAGGGCTTGTAAACCTTGTAATCAAACTACAGGTCGCAATTTTGAAGATAATTCAATGAAATTCGGCACATGATCTTCTACGGTACCGGAGACGAAGCCTATTGAAAATGGTTAACATCGGTTCATGATTTCATCTAGCCCCCAAACAACTGAACCCGACAAATAGGGCTTTCAAGTTCATAATATAATCGTATCTCGACAAAAAGCTGAAAAACCAAGTTCTAGCCATTATGACTCTCTCTCATGAATTTTATTATTATAGGGTCTCATTTGACCATAGCCCCTATACAAATCCCCCTTCAAAATTTAACTTAAATGTCCACAATTGTATTCAACAATAAATGGCTTAAGTATAACTGAGACAAGGTACAATTCAACTTAAATGCTTTAGTATGAAACTAAATCACATTTTATTTTTGTAACAGGTGTAGGGTATTATATGGTCGGCCTCGCCTGACTATAATTTCTTACTTGTTTTTTTTTAATTTTTTCCATTTTTTCTCATTGCAGGTTAGTAGACATAAAATTTAAATGAAAATCACAGCAGCAACAACAACTATAACGAAAGAATTCTAATTTATCAAAATAATGCAACATTTAAAGACCTCCAGAGGCAATAGTTATTAGGAGCAACCTCATTATCTTTTAACAAATGTTCTAAATAATGATAATGATGTTGAGAGCAACATCATAAGCACAGTAAGTAGGAAAAGCTTAATAAAACAACAGCAAATAAAAACCGTTAAATGCATTATGGCCAGAATGATAGTGTAATGAGGAAAAACACAAATAGCTAGATAGAATAGAATATAACAGCTATAACTAAATATACTAAAAACTATTCTAACAGAGAAAAACTGTACGTCCTCTTCAACAACCATTAGCAACAGGTAATAGAAAAAGCCAAGAAAGAAGAATAAAAAAAAACTTCAAGCCAATTAATAGATGTTTAACTTCAAGGTACTTGAAAACTAAAACAGAAAACGTATGATTTTGTTATTAAACAGAAGCTGAATTCAATTATCAAAGTAGCAGGAGTTTTTATCGAAGACTACACTGTTTTAAGTCTTAACAATTTAAACGTCTTAAGTTTAAATGAATCGTAATCAATGGTTAGCTGTTTCTTTAACATTCTAACTCATCTTCTTGTTTCTGAGGTAATTTTCCTTTAGCTAGAAGCAACATGCTTCTAGAGATTCTTCTAAAAGCTTTCTTTTTCTTTCTTATTTTCTTATAATGATTGGTTTTTATTACAAACATATTTCCGTATGTGGATTTAGCTGCCATTAGAATCAATAAAAATTTTTTTTTTCCATTTTCTAAAAGTTTTAGCTTTTTTGTTATTATTTCTGTTTGCTACTATGAAGTTTTTCTTTGTCAGATTATTATCGCTCTACCGAAGATCACGTTTTCAGTTTGTCAGTTATAATCTATCACTATTCAATGTGATATATTTTGTTATGAAAACTTTTTGTAACAATTTCTTTAATAAAAATGTTAATTTTACACTTTATTAAAAATTTATTTGCCCTAATTGTTTCTATTCTAAATGCAAATAATATAACATAAAAATTATAACTTAAACTCGATTTAAGCTAGTTTAGTTAAACTTGGTTTAAGCAAGTTTAGCTTAAAATAAGTAAGAGTTCTATATTCGGCTGTGCTGAATCTTATATACCCTTCACCATGATGTGTTAAAAAACAGTCAGTACGAATTTTATTACAAAAAATCACTTAATCCAGACTCTACATGCTAAATTTCATGTTTCTAGGTTCAATATTATAGAAAATTCAAAAAGTACCTTTTGTAGGACGAAAAAGTACTAAAAAGTCCGCTTTTATAGATTCTTACATAATCAAGACCCTACATGCCAAATTTCATGTTTCTAGATTCAATATTATAGAAAATTCAAAAAGTACCTTTTGTAGAACGAAAAAGTACCAAAAAGTCCCCTTTTATAGGTTCTTACCTAGTCAAGGCCCTACATGCTAAATTTAATGTTTCTAGGTTCAATATTATAGAAACTTCAAAAGTACCTTCTTAAGAACGAAAAAGTACCAAAAAGTCCTCTTTTATGGGTTCTCACTTAATCCAAACTCTACATACTTAATTTCATGTTTCTAGGTTCAATATTATAGAATTTCAAAAAGTACCTTTTGTATAACGAAAAAGTACCAAAAAGTCCCCTTTTATAGGATCCTACCTAATCAAGGCCCTTCATGCTAAATTTCATGTTTCTAGTTTCAATATTATAGAAATTTCAAAAAGTACCTTTTGAAGAACGAAAAAGTACCAAAAAGTCCCCTTTTATAGGTTCTTACCTAGTCAAGGTCCTACATGCTAAATTTCATGTTTCTAGGTTCCATATTATAGAAATTTCAAAAAGTACCTTTTGTAAAACGAAAAAGTACCAAAAAGTCCCTTTTTATAGGTTCTTACCTAGTCAAGGCCCTACATGCAAAAATTCATGTTTCTAGGTTCAATATTATGGAAATTTCAAAAAGTACCTTTTGTAGAACGAAAAAGTACCAAAAAGTCCCCTTTTATAGATTCTTACTTAGTCAAGGCCCTTCATGCAAAATTACATGTTTCTAGGTTCATTATTATAGAAATTTCAAAAAGTAGCTTTTGTAGAACGAAAAAGTACCAAAAAGTCCCCTTTTATGGGTTCTCACTTAATCCAGACTCTACATGCTTAATTTCATGTTTCTAGGTTCAATATTAAAGAAATTTCAAAAAGTACCTTTCGTAGATCGAAAAAGTACCAAAAGTCCTCTTTTATGGGATCTCACTTAATCCAGACTCTACATACTTAATTTCAAGTTTCTAGGTTCAATATTATAGAAATTTCAAAAATTACCTTTTGTAGAACGAAAAAGTACCAAAAAGTCCCCTTTTATGTGTACTGACCTAATCCGGGCTCTACATACTTAATATCATGTTTCTAGGTTCAATATTATAGAAATTTCAAAAAGTACCTTTTGTAAAACGAAAAAGTACCAAAAAGTCCCCTTTTATGTGTTCTGACCTAATCCGGGATCTACGTACTTAATTTCATGTTTCTAGGTTCAATATTATAGAAAATTCAAAAAGTACCTTTTGTAGAACGAAAAAGTACCAAAAAGTCTCCTTTTATGTGTCCTCCCCTAATCCGAGATCTACAAACTTAATTTCATATTTCTAGGTTCAATATTATAGAAAATTCAAAAAGTACCTCTTGTAGAACGAAAAAGTACCAAAAAGTTCCCTTTTATGTGTTCTCGCTTAATCCGAGCTCTGCAAACTTAATTTCATGTTTCTAGGTTCAATATTATAGAAAATTCAAAAGGTACCTTTTGTATAACGAAAAAGTACCAAAAAGTCCCCTTTTATAGGTTCTTACCTAGTCAATGCCCTACAATTTAAATTTCATGTTTCTAGGTTCAATATTATAGAAATTTCAAAAGTACCTTTTGAAGAACGAAAAAGAAAATTCAAAAAGTACCTTTTATAGAACGAAAAAGTACCAAAAAGTCTTCTTTTATTGGTTCTCACTTAATCCAGACTCTACATACTTAATTTCATGTTTCTAGGTTCAATATTATAGAAAATTCAGAAAGTACCTTTTATAGAACGAAAAAGTACCAAAAAGTCCCTTTTATGTGTTCTGACCTAATCCGGGCTCTACATACTTAATTTCGTGTTTCTAGGTTCAATATTATAGAAAATTCAAAAACTAACCTTTTTAGAACGTAAAAGTACCAAAAACTTCCCTTTTATGTGTCCTCGCCTAATCCAATATTATAGAAAATTCAAAAAGTACCTTTTGTAGAACGAAAAAGTACCAAAAAGTCCCCTTTTATAGGTTCTTACCTAGTCAAGGCCCTACATTTTAAATTTCATATTTCTAGGTTCAATATTATAGAAATTTCAAAAAGTACCTTTTGTAGAACGAAAAAGTACCAAAAAGTCCCCTTTAATATGTTCCTACCTAGTCAAGGCCCTACATGCTAAATTTCATTTCCTTTTATGTGTTCTATACTTAATTTCATATTTCTATGTTCAATATTATAGAAAATTCAAAAAGTACCTTTTTTAAAACGTAAAAGTACCAAAAAGTCCCCTTTAATGTGTTTGCCGTCTTACAAAGTCTTAATTAGAACAAAGTAACTAAGGTAGGGTGCTTGTAACTCTCTGGCAATCCATTGTCTTTTCATTTCTTATTCTTTCTCTATTGACACATTTGTCCATCTTCTTATGTTTAACTGGCAATGGTGTCATGAGTCTACTACTATTACCACTCAACTGCTCTTACCACTTTTCCATAGAAAACTTCTTGTTCCGGCAGTAACCTGAAAAAAAAAAACAATTTTTGAACTTGAAAATTTCCCACATCAGCTTTAAAGCAGAAAAAAACACATGCTACCTTGTGGTTTTCAAAACACATTTGCTAGTATTTACCTTACCCCCACACTCTTTCTCTAGAGATTCATTGTTAGAGGGATTTAGTTATAATAATTTCATGATGCATGTTTTGGCTTTAGCATCTTCTCATATGACGAGAATTTTTGTTTTTTCAGTTTTCAAGATGATGATGACGTTCAAGAAGACACGCTGACGTTGCGAATGACTGTGATCATGTTGTGAAATTTGAACTATGCTTAAGTATTATTAGAACTTTTTTTAAAGAATGGATTTTTTAGTTGAGGAAAATCTATTATTTTAATGCTTTCATAGCTAAATAACTGTTCTGGGGAAATATTTGTTCTGCTATTTTTTTTTCATGAAAATACTTTTGCACGATTATTGTTGTTATTGTGTGAGCTCAATAGACTACAGACACTTTCTATTCAAATAATTTAGAACAGCGGGAGTTAGAATATAATTTTGCATAAAATTTTTATTGCATCGGCCATGCCCGACTATACTTTCCTACTTGTTATACCCTACACCACTAGGGCTGATGTTTGTAACGCTCATACCACCTTAATGTATACCAATCGGCTTAGAATCATTTTCTCAGTCGATTTAGCTATGTCCGTCTGTCTGTCTGTCCGTCCGTGTGTCCATCCATGTAAACCTTGTAATCAAATTACAGGTCGCAATTTTGAAGATAATTCAATGAAATTTGGTACATAATCTTCTATGTCCCATGAACGAAGCCTATTGAAAATGGTTAAGATCAGTCCATTATTTCACCTAGCCCTCATACAACTGAACCCGCCGAATAGGGCTTGTAAACCTTGTAATCAAACTACAGGTCACAATTTTGGTGATAATTCAATGAAATTTGGCCCATGATCTTCTATGGTACGGGAGACGAAGTCTATTGAAAATGGTTAACATCGGTTCATCGGATTTCACCTAGCCCCCAAACAACTGAACCCGACAAATAGGGCTTTCAAGTTCATAATATAATCGTATCTCGACAAAAAGCTGAAAAACTAAGGTCTAGCCATTATGACTCTCATGAATTTTATAATTATAGGGTCTCCATTTGATCATATCCCCTATACAAATCCCCCCTCAAAATTTAGCTTAAATGACCACAATTTTATTCAACAATAAATGGCTTAAGTATATCTGAGACAAGGTACAATTCAACTTAAATGCTTTAGTATGAAAACTAAATCATATTTTATTTTTGTAACAGGTGTAGGGTATTATATGGACGACCTCGCCTGACTATAATTTCTTACTTGTTATAAAATTAAAAATG